ATATATATATATATATATATATATATATATATAAAGGTATATATATATATATATATATATAGTGCACATTGATACAATATCACATTGAACTTGATAGGCAATATATGTTAGAATAAATATAAAATGTAGAACTAATAATATTAGGTACTTGATTACATATAAAAGGTACACTGCATAGTTTAAAGTAACTAATTATATTTAAAGACGTATTTTATTTTACCAATTTATTAATTACTTAAATTACGCAGTTCTTTCTAACAATAGTACAAAAAATCGCCTACCAAAGAACATTCTTATAAATTAAAGTTTTATCATAAGTTTTGTAGAATTGTCTTAATTATGGTTTCTAGAACATAAACAGTTCTTTAATTACAACTTATACAGAGAGCAAATTTACATCATGTATAAATATGTGTACTTTTATATTTGGAATAAAATTGAACATACTTGTAAGATCAAACTTTGTAATTTTTACTTTGTACAGAAAATTATGAAAAAAATCATGTTTTCCGATCAATAATTATATTGTATGTTTTTGCACTTATCATTATCAAATTCTTGTAATTTCAAGTACCTTTTATGTATTTAACATATTTATATCACGTATTGTACATTATATTATCAGACTAACGCAATATAATTTTGTAAAAAATATATTTTATTTAAATATATAAATATGCTTAAAAACGTTCTTTCATATATTTTTCCTAAATATTTAATTAATAGTTGTATTTAAGATTTGTTACACTTATGGTAAACAATCCGCTTTGGTTTTTGAGTACTATCATCGGTAGGTATTTGTGTATAAATAAATACTTTGCCTTTACAGTAACAGCAAAATTCTTTAGATGGATGAGAATTATCAAAATGCTTTTCTATGGCAGAATGGTTTCCAACAATATTCATATTGCAAATATCACAGAATACTCCAGAGGATCGAAATCTTGAATGTACTGAGTCAGTAACAACTCGATCTGAGTACTTATGATTTGAATTGGTTGCTTCAGTATTTTGTGAAGACATTTTTATTTCTGAAATAAATAGTAAAATATTATCATAAGAGATTTTATTTATAGGATAATTATACTTCTCAAAATCATACTTTAATTTTTATATAATCTTCAATTATATGTTATATATTTATATATAAATTTGTAAATACGTATGTGTGCAATAAAAAATGTTCAAATTTACTAAATAAAAGAAAAAATGTAAAAAATCAGATAGTTCAGTAAACAATTCTAAAATACAATTTAGGTAGCAAAAATAAATGGCAATTTATTATAGGATTAAAAAAGTCTTTATAAAATGAATTTCATAATAATTAAAAAATATATTTATATTTTAATGTTCCAATATTTGTAATGTAGAGGTTAGAAAATTATAACCTAATATCATATACTTACATGAGATTCTTTTCTATTAGTTATATTAATCAGTCTTTATCAAATAAAATACTTATTTATCATTGTGAAATAAAGTAAAACGTCTGCATTACTTATAATCGTTTCTTGTCTTTCAATACTTTATTTACTATGCAATACAATATACATTATGTACCAGTTTTTTTAAACACACAATAAGAAATGTGATAAGTGATAAAACCAACTGTTAATCAACAGTTAATCAACTGAATTCTAATTTCGATTGTTTCTTTATCTCGCTATAAAAATACTTAGTCTTTTTATTTGCTTTCTTAATGAACTTAAATATTATGGATAATTAAATAAAAATACAAAATTATTTAAAAATTATTATATATTTCTTTACAATGAAATAATTAAATTTTTAATATACTTAAACTTGTAATACATCGTATAATAATTGTACCTTTATATAGGTTTTATTTTAAAATGAAGTCCAATAAGAGAAAACACTAAGCACTTCAAATCTTGTACAAGATAATAGAAGCATCTCAGTCCTTCTGGATCTCGTGATTGATTTACATCCAACAAAGAACCAGTTTTTGAAGTTGTAAATGATATATGTTCATCACCGATTACAATCTCTAATTCTTGGCGTCCAACACGATCTGGTTGTGGCCATAAAGAATCATCTTCCTGCATAATTTCAGAATCTTGAATAATCCTTTTCAATTCTTCCATTACACACTGATGGACATATGCTTCTTTTCGAATCATTGTGTCATTCTTGTAATTCGAATTATTTGCATATCGCAATTTACCATCAGGCCTAAATTCAAATTCAAGAAATTCATGACCAAATTTTCCTTTGTGCCCCACATAGTAACGTATATAAAAATCTGTTGACATTGTGATGATAAACAATTGTATTCAACTGAAATAATAAGTTGACAGTTTATGTTGCAAAATAGTAAAGCTGTATAAATTAGGTTATTTTATTTACCTTAAGAATTTTTATTTCTTCTTTTTGTATAAATTATTTGATTATAAAGCTTTTAGTACAAAGGTATGTACACAATTTTTCAATAATTTTAATAACTTCTTAATAATGATAACATAGAAAATTAAAAAAACTCAGTATTATTATATGCCACAATGTAATACAAACATTCCGTTAAGCAATAGATACGTTAAATATTGGCTGTACTGAACATTAAGGCGGTTCATATGTAATTGCAACGTTACATATAACATAAGATGATTTTGTTTTCACATTCACTACAGCTTACATTTTTAAATTTATGAATCCAATAATTATTTTATCAATCATTAATTAATGCTAATTTAAAAAATGTTGAATCTTTTAATTGTAAGAAATAGCTCAAGACAAAAGTTTGAAAGAACTTATGTCATAAAAAAAATATCGACTGAGTAATAAAGAATTAATAAATCATATTTTTATGCAAAGGATACTAAAATATGTTATTTCATTTTAGATTTAACTAATATGGTATTGAAAATTAAAATTATTTTAGCGTAAAACGTCTTAAACTTGAAATTTGAATAAACTCCATCGCACTTGTCGCGGATCTATCTTCGTAAGAGGACGTCGTTCAGTGGTCATCTGGTGATACCTAAATTGTTAAGTTGTTTGCCACGCAATTGTGTCATTTTGTCTCGAATTGATCATTTTGATCATATTGAGTAATCAGGAAACCATATTAATCTTCATACATTTTTTGTACTAGAGACGATTAGCAAAAAATGTAACGCAAGTGACATGTGCAAATATTAAAATAAATCTCGTGAACGAGTGAAATGTTTATAGTGTTAATTTTGATGTATGTACCAGGGTAGCAAGCTGAAGGATGAAATTATTCTGCTCGACGAGTTCACATAAATTAAACTCGTCATAGCAAAAGCTCAGTAGAAAATCGTTTATTAATAATGAACAAGACTCACATGGATAAAAGACTGAATCAATTGCCAACTTGGCTGTGGACTAATTCTACTACTTTACCACCAATCTATAAGATGGTATGGGAAGCAGTACGAGAAGACAAAGTTAGAACAAATGGAATGCAACCTGAGCTGTTGGTTGATACCAACAAAGTCTTTCCTTTATTGCTCACTAGTCAACTTCCTACAGAAGTTCTTGGACACATATGGAACTTGGCAAATCAAAAGTATGCTGGACAGCTTACAGAGCAAGAATTATATATTGTTCTTGCTCTTGTTGCTGCAGCACAGGCTTCTTACACATTTAATAGCCTAGACATATTACATTTACTTCCATTTCCACCTACTCCATATTTAAATATTGAATGTTTAATGAATCTACAGCCTGTAACTCAATTAAATTCTGCAGCTAAATTTCAAAATTTTCAAGCGAACACTGAATTTGGATTTATTGGTCCAGATGAAAGATATTCCTTAGAAGTTAAAGGAAAAATGAAATTACATCAACAAGGAGTCATATCATCAGATTTAAATGTGCAAATGACAAACAATGTACCTGGAAAAATTTCATGTTTTGATAATAAATCTTATGTTTCTTCTACTACAATATGGGATTCCAATAATGTATTAAAAGATACAAAGCAGACTCCACGCTCCCAATTAGATTTTAAACACTCATCATCAACAGATCTTTGTGATGACTTTTCTGAGTTTCAAAGTGCTCCAATTCCTAACATTCCCAACATTCCCATTTGGGATACAAAGCAAGGCTCAGCTATTGGAAGTAGACTTGCAAATCATAATTTAGGTGTTAAAAAGCCAATGGAGAAGTCAAAGAAAAATAATATAAATTCTAAATCTGCTCATGGCACTACCCAGACACGTATTACATCAGTACCATTAATTGCAATGTCTCAAAGTAAAGATCAGTCAACATTGGATTGTTTATCAGAATTATTTCCTAAGTGTACAATAAAAAATCAGTCTAAAACAGTAATTCTTAAGGATACAGTGATAAGAAATAATGATCCGCCCAAGGACCATAGTGAAAATGTAAAAGAGTATACAAATATAGAAATTGTAAATTTAACTAATGACAAAGATGTTTTGAATAAATCCGAATGGGTGGAAAAGGTAATTTAATCTTTATAAGTTATATTATTTATAGCTAAAAAAATTGAAATTTATATAAATTTAAAGGTTTTTTTTTAATTTTTACTAAATTTTTGCTAAATTTGTAATTAGGCTTTACCAGCAACATTAGAAACCACTCAACAGGATCTCATGAATCTTCAGCTTGTTGAAGATAAATATAGTGCCTTGCGTGCATTGGTTCAAGAAACAACTGTGTCAACTGAACCAATTTCAAACGCAAGTTACAACAATCAATCCACTGATGAATTTGGAGAATTTGTATCTGCAGAACAACCTGCTGTTAATACTCCTGCCACAAATACTGTAGATACCGATAGTTTTGCTGATATTTTTACAGATTTTGAGTTTAAATCTAGTAACAATAATAATGCAAATACAGCAGATTTCAATCTCATGCCAGATATTTCTGAATCATTTGACAATCTTAAGCTTGAAGATAATGTAGAAGAACGTTCCTTAGAAATAGGTAATTAATATCACATATTATCTATTCTACTTGTAATTGTTTTTTTGTCATAAACAATATTTTAATGGCTGCATTTCATCTGAAGGGAAAACTCTTCAAAAGGAAGATGCCATATCAATTAATAGTATAGAATTCATGAATGGTGCATCAAATGCATTAACTCGATCAGGATCTGTGCCTAGTTTAGATCTTAAGTCTTTCTTACCTTCAAATACAGAGGATGAACAAATAATGGATACCACACATCAGGTTACTGTACTTTTTAATGTACTGAATATAAAACATATAAAGAAGGAACAGTTTTAATATATTTGATTTTACAGTCAGAATATTGGGAATGGAAGCAATATATGGAAAGTTGTGTACTATTATTACAAGTAGCTGTAAATATATTTACAAATATTAGTTCAGAACTCATATTACACGAAGTTTTAAATTCAGCACAAGGATATAACTTTCTTTGCAGTAAGTAACATTACAAGAATTTACAATTTTTTTGCAATTTATTAACATGTTAAATATAATTATCTTTCTTTTTCTTTTTATCAGATTTAGCCGAAGTTGCAGCTGTTTGTAGGCGGGTTAATTTTTCATATAAAGAGATGGATATCAATATAATAGGTTTTGATGAATTACTAATGGACATCGATCGAATTTGGGCAGAAATGGAGCCATTTTATGCAAATATTCCAGTAAGAAATAATATTACATCGTAATATTTACTGCCGTATTAATTTAAAGTTTTAAATTCGTAAATAATCTTGTTATAACTTTATATAATACATTTTAGATTGTTACGGAACTACCAGCCTGGCCTTTACATCAAGGGGAAGCCATTTGTTGTTCACTTTGTTTAACAGTTATTACTAGTGGCCGAGTAGTGTATAATGAGAATAGTTATCACGTTACTTGTGCGAATCTATGGATTAATTGTATAAACAATAATTTGCCCGTGATGCGGCATCCTGTTTATTCTCATTCAAATATATGTCCAGGTAACAATCATATTTGATACTGATCTGGATTAAAGAGGAAGAAACAAAAATCTTGCAGTCATAAATTTTTAATGTACACACATTAACTTATTATACGAAAATCTGTAGGAAATCAGAGCAAATTAACTTTGTATTTAAGTAATAATTAGAAAATCAAACATTAACATTTTTTAACACTTATCAAGTAACACAAACATGATATAAAAAAAAGTAAAAGAAATCGAAACGTGTATATTATAAGAAAAAGTAGATTCCACAAGAGTTGTACATATTCTTTAAAGTCAAACGTTTTCAAAATCTTATTACCTAGTCTGATTAAAAATCTGTACAGATATCGAGAAATCTAGAGGAAATATTAACATATTATAATCTTTTGGAATTAGGGAGAAAGTAAAAAAAATCGCGAGTATGTCTTACAAATATCTTAAATATAGCCAAGAAGGTTAAAGGAATTATGAAGGAATTCTTGAAACCTGAACAAAAGTTCATATCAATCAAATTGAATATAATATTTTCGTGGAGATCTTATAAAATTCTTAGTGCAAATACAAGATAAATGATTAAAATATTATTCTATGAAACAATATTACAATGAAATATGGTAGTGATCTTACAAGTTTTGAAATTATCGTTGACTTGTATCGCGCGGTCTATACACTATTCCTCTGCTTTTCATCTCTCTTATAACACCTGCAGGTAATCGACCTGATACTGATATTGCGTATACGCCTTTGCAAAATCGATCTAAAAGGAGTAAAAAAAAGTTGAATCTCAGTTATTACAGCGAATATTTATAATTATTAGCAAGAGATTTTGTTTATTATTTTAAGTTAAATGAAAAATTATAATGCGTTTAAAACAATATGTAAAAATTAATGCAAAATATACATGAAATTAAAATATGTTAAAACAAAATCTTATGTACGCACATAAGCATGTTCCTTAATAACTATACATACTATCATACATATTAGTGAAAATTCTGTATAAATGTATAATAATATTTAATGTTAAGACTCTCAAATAAAAGAAAATTTATTAAATTGCAAATATATATATATATATATATGTGTGTGTGTGTGTGTGTATATAAATATATATATATATATGTATATATACACATATATATATATTTATTTATTTATTGCAGCGTTTTATATTAGTTGCATTTTTCGTATTGAAATATTGGCTTAAAAACTTATACAAAGTGCTGCCTTTCAATACATTTACATATACGAATTAAAATATATACATATATGATTTAGATCATTGTTGTTTGCACTGCCAAAAATAATTAAGACGAAAAAATATTAATGTATTAGAAATTTGAAGGAACATTAATGAAATTAAAAATTTCAAAATAATGTGGAAACATGCTAACAGTTTATAGTATAATTTCCTATGAAATAATGTAACTGTTATAATTTTGTAAAAGTGTACAAGAATAAAATAACAATATTTCTCTTGCTTAATTTTTACTTATTACGTGCAGCTGTATATTTGTTACTCACTTATTCTTTGCCATTTACAAACCCAACTGTCTTCAGGACTCATTGCAGCAATCATACTAAAAAATGTCACTTTTAGCATCTGAGTTAATTAATTTGGAATAAATAAAGATACAATCAATTATATAAAAATAATCTAATTTTTATTGTTTAAACTACTTACCCATCAAAATTGGTACTTGTACAATCAAGAACGTTATCTTTATTATTTTTCATACGTAAAAATTCATCGCAATTATCACAACCATCAAATTCAAATTGGTCAAATGTCTAAAATATCATTAAAGTTCTTAGATAAATAATTTTATGTAAAAGTTATAGTAGTAAATACGAAAAAGTATACCTTAACCAAAGAGCATACTAAACAAGCTCTTAATCCTCGTAAATCTTTAGGAACTGTTTCCATCGACATACCTAATATTTTGTTATGATTTCTTTTTAATCTTTTAATAAAATATATTTTTTGTCAACAATAAATGATAATATTAACCACAATATAAATAAACATATGATTTTCTACTAACTTTCAACGCATGACAGTTTAACCACTACTCTAATATAGTATAGTACAATATAACACAATATAATATGGCATAATATAAGCATTTTATAATTAGTTAGGAGTAATAAGTTAATATAAAAAGTCTTATAAATTATTGATTCCAGATATAACAATATTTACAATAAAACTTAAGTTTTGTATTTATAATTCTATTTATAAGTTAATCTTTTAGTTACTTAAATTTTAAAAAATTGAGTGTTCTTAAAATTATCTTTTGGTTTCAGCAAAGGCTTAATATTTTTCCGTTCTTAAATTTTGCTCTTAAAAATTATGTTGGATACGAAATAATTTTGTTGTTTCTCAGAGAAGTGTATTAAATAACATCAAATAATTTTTCATCTATATATTTATATTGTCATAGAAACTACCCAAAAACTGTTACTGTGTTACAAAAGTAACTCTTTAGAGACGGGTCAGGCACTAAACGCGGGAAACATTACGACGTATGTTGGAACATTTATCGTGTAAAGGAGGTGAGAAAAGTCGGTATGTTTCGAATCTGTACATACGAAATATCTGAATATTTATTTTAAAAACATTGTAATTTAAAAATATAATCATTAATTTATTATTTTACTATCCTGTGCACGTATATTGTTATTAGACTTGCTCTAAATTATTTGATTGACTTGCGTTTTTAACGGCCACTATCATGAAACCTGGAGGTGGCACAAAGGTTCCTGCCGCCAAAATTATTGTTTCGGAGGTTAGTATTATAATAACAAAATTTTTGTATTCTCAATCTTTAATCTATAACCTTGTTTGTAAAATTATTGCTTATATTTTAATTGTATTAAAATTTTATTGTTTTGAAGAATTCGATTTATTTATATAATACATACATTTTAATTTATGAAACAATTATTCTCCCATTATTCTTTGTCTATTTGCCACCTTTGATTGTTAAATAACCGTTTTAATGCTGTTTTAAATTTCAATAATCAATATCTTGAATTTTATATAATTTATTATTGTATTATAAGTTTATTGCATTTTATATGTTGTATCCATATTTTCTTTTTATTAATCCATTTATTTTTAGTTTTACACATGATTCAAACAGCATAATTGCATGAACAAGCTTTATAATATATCATATATTTTTATCTTTTATCAAAACAGGATAAGGTCAGAAAGTCTTTACACGTTTTGCAGCCAGCAGCAACTGATAAAGAAAATTTAGTTGGTGGTGGGAGAATGCTTAGATCTGCTCTGTCATCAAAGGAAACAATTAAAAGGTAAGTAAATTTTGTAGTATATTACTTTTTATTCTTTTCATTTTGTTTTTGAACATATTATCCAAATTAATTTCTATTTTTTAGTGATGTGACTGAAAAATCGAAAAATGATGAAAAACCAAAACGTAAGAAAATAATTTTAAAGGATAAGGCTGTTCAAACTGCAAGGGGAGGAAAGATAAAGATTGAAGTTGAAGATTTAACATCTGAAGGTACATATAGAAATAAAAGAAAATCAGAAGAAACTGTAAACATTTGTTTAATTATTAGTTTTAAAAATGTTTCTTTTATGTTTATAATAGCTGGCCCTAGTGAAAACTATTGGGAAGTGTTGGCTGAAAGGCGACGAATAGCACTTGAAGATGCTTTAGAAGACAATAGAGAATTGACTGACCGTATAGAAAAATTAGAAGAAGAAAATCGTATATATAAAGAAATGTTAGATGAATCAAGAGCATTAGTCGAAGTTTTACAGGTATTATTATAAACAACTTTACCTATAATGCTTAAATTATTTCTATGTAATTAAATGTAACATCGTTTATAGGAAATGATTGGAGAAGATAGAAACGATATAAATAATTCTCTGGAAGATACCATTTAATCTAACGTTTTATAATCAAGTACTAATCTGTGCCTTATGGCTCAAACAGAGCTAAATGTCTCCATATTGAAGGCAATGTGTAATGCACTAGACATTAGTAAATACCGACGGGTTGCCTGTTAAATATAAAAGTCTGAGTAAAGTTTTGATAAATTAAAAATGAAGAATTTCTTCGTAGTTTTAATACATTTCAATTATTCGTCGTTACTTGTACTTGTTAAATCATAATTTACGGAATTAATTTAGACTGTGGTTGCGACTACAAATGTATTTACCTCATAGAGTACTACTTAATATAATATATTATATATTTTTGATTATAATTAATAAATCATTTTTCTAACATATATTGAAATTTTCTTCTAGTAACTTTTATTTAAAATATTCCTATTTTATATTATCTTGCTGTCAAGAAGTAATGATATTAATGAGACAAATTGCTAGCATCACATGTTTATTTCACAAATCTTTGGCGTAGATCTTGAATTCCATCGAAAATATATGATATGACATAACGTTACTTTTTGGTAACGACTAATTGTGTTTTAATCACGCTCCAGTCACAGCACTACGTGTTTGAGGAAGCCGTTTAATTTACTACATCATTTTTCAGTGAAAATAACTATACATTCATTGGAAGGATGCCAGTAAAGTCGTGCATAAAAATGTTGCTGAATGCGTTGCTGAATGCCAGATGCGTAAAAGCAAACTTTTTCTATTTCTTCACTGTTCTCCGCCCGAGGATTTCGCCTCTAGCTTATTTTGTTTTTCCCGTCTCATGTTCGAAGAATGCGTCATTTTCTTGATGATCTATTCAAACGAATAGTAGACTGATACGCGATTTACGAATCATAAGAGGCGGTTGAACATCGGGTTTGCACTGCGGAACGCCATTGATAAGCGTTAAAGTCAGTTCTTAATCTTCGTCCTTGAAGCGGCGGTAGATAGACTGCACATAGGTGAAGACGCATTTCCAGTCTGGTCGACGCATCATCACCATGTCCTCGACATCAAGTAACGGTGCGATCCCGGCGAGTTCACTATGAAAAATAGTTGTGATTGGAAGAATCAGTATTGCTTGAATCCTTTGTTGAAATATTTATGGAGCTATAATTTGAGCAAAATTATTCTATTTTTCCCCGCTTTTCACAAACTTTATCATTCCATTTTTTCTTTTTATTTATTTCATAAATATAAATATATACTTCTTACTTTAAGTTTAAAAAATACTCCTGAAAAGTATATAAAAACTACAGAAAAGCGAAATAAAGAAATAGTCTCGAATTTTTTCTCCTTTCATAAGATAAATCTGAAATAATTTAGAAACAAATTAAAAATAGTCAGAACATTAAAAAATTATTCTAACTTACTCGGCTTTTTTAAACGCCAACTCGAAATTCATTCTGCGGTTCTCAGGTCGTAATGAGTGATAATCGAAAGCGTCTGGTCTGAAATGATGAAGCAGAGCACAAAACGCCAGTCCATTGTTCCAGCTTGTTGAGAAATTATCTAGTTGTACATTCTGCAATAGAAAATGTAATCATACCACAGTTGATCAATTTCCTAAACGCGCAATTTTGTGTTGGCTACCGACGTATAATTAATTATTAACACGTTTTCTGTAAATAACATATATGCAAGCGTATGAGTGCAAGAAGCTCCATTTACAAGGCGAATTTACCTCGTACTCTTTGGTCTTGGAACGGCACCACGCCAGTAGCCGCTCTTTTATTTGCACCGCGTTATCCCGCACTGCTGGCTCGGTAAACTTGAATCGAAACTCTGTTGCCGGTGACTTTACGGGACTAAATATAGAAAGAAAAATCGTCAGTTAAGCTTTCGAAGAAATGGAAGATCTATGTACAAAAAAAAGAAATGTACTGTGATAATAAATCAAATAATAATAATAAAAATTGCATTTAAATAATTAAATTTTATGTTTTAGCAGTAGCCTGAGGGATAACATTTACAGCGTTGTCGAAATAGCTATAGCTTTTCTAACACCGAATAGAAAAAGCTTTCAACGTTGTCTAATAATATCGATTCTTTTATCGATAGTAAAACCGAAAATACCTTTGTATAAATAAACAACGATCGTAAAACGGTTTTCAATTACCTGGGTGACGAAGCGGCGCTATTTTGTCTGTCGAGTTCACGAAACTTGGCAAACGGCGATAGCGGCTTCTTACGTGCTGAAAAACGAATAAAACGATTTAAATTAAGAAAGTATCACTATAGGGCAACGTCGTAAAACGTTAGGGTTCATCGAAACGCATTCGGTCATTTTATCAATGTTAATCGTCTATATCTAATTAAAAGTTTGTCAATAAAAATTGCTGCGCATGTGAGAATTATTAGGAGGATTTGGCAAAATTCAACAAAAATTCAAAAATTAAAGAAAAGAAAGAATGACAAAAATTTTCGTTTCTCAACCTCGTCGCTGTTCCTCGATCAGAGGTTATTTTTCTTTTTTTTAATCAATTTCAACGATACATTGCAACACGTTGTTATAATAAACATCATCTTTCATTTCTGATTTCGTGATCTGAGTCGCAACGAGGCGATGACGAAATCGCTCCAATAACAAGAAACACGTGGAGCTGGATCTAAAACTAAAAGATTTCTAACCTAAAATGTGTGCTCTTTGTGTTCGTGTGATGATCGTTAGCAATGAAATTTGAATAACGTGTTCACCACCACCCAATAACGTGTTTATGCTGCGGGCATTTGTGCGTAACCTTTATACGCGTATCCATGTATGTATATATCAAACACATAAAAAATAACGGTTCATGTGTAATGGTGTATGTATTATTGACGTGAAAACGCGAAAATGCGAAGATTTAAGTCGCCAGAAGCAATTCCTCATTGATTCCGCGAATAAAGACTTGGAAACTTGGCTGGCTCGTCTCTCGATTCTCTTTCTCTGTGTTTACAATCTCCAAATAAAAGCCCGGGGGGAGGGGGGGGGGGG